TGTATCTTTTTATAGGCAAAAAAAAAAAATATTATAAAATACTATTAATTTAACTTCAAGAAAATAACAATGGAAACAACAAACTACTCTAATAAAAGGTAAGCTCTAACTAACTAATTTTGTTTACCATTTTGTAACATGCCGCTTATGCTTTTATTTTTTTTTAAATTCGATTTTGTAGCACCTACAAGGCGGTAGTCATTTTTATTGTCGTTATTATATTATTATGTCAATCTGTCGTCAGCATTCCTGTACCCGAAAATCAGTTGGATGAGAATAAAATTGAAACTCCACCAATATTCTCCGTACAGGATCCAAACATCAATGAAATCACGCTAAATGTTAACAACACAGACCAGATTGATGAAATGTCCAACAAGACCATGACCGATTTTTCGACAATCGATGACAGAACGATATTTGATGAAATCGGTGATGCTATAGCCAAATTTTTCAAAGACATTGGTGATGCTATAACCAAGTTTTTCCAAGACAATGGTGATGCTATAGCCAAATTTTTCAAAGACGCTGGTGATGCTATAGCCAAATTTTTCGTAGACAGTTATGACGTTATAATCAAATTTTTCCAAGAAAATTATGGCATCATTATCGAAATTGCTATTGGAATCGGAATATTGATTTTAATTTGTCTCTTTCCAACTATTTTGGTCGGAATAATCCGAGCAATAGGTTTTGGTGTTAAAGGAATAATTAAAGGAACCTGGGCTGCTAAATGTATGGCTGCGCATTGTGGATATGTTGTTGCTGGAAGCCTTTGTTCTGTGTTGCAGAGTATTGGTGCTAAGGGAATATCTGGGTTAGGAGGGTTGCTTAAATTCCTGGGTTAACTCATTGGAATATTTCTACGTACGATGTTCTGTTGTTGAATTCCTTTTAGAATTAATTTTATCATTGTATTAGATAGATAATTTATAATTAATATTGTGTGGGATTTGTGTTCAAGTTTATAGTTTTATACAATTATCAAGTTCGAGATATTTTATATTGAATTTCTTTTTTTACAAAATTCAATGAATCAAATAAACACTTAATTATGAAATATGCTTTTAGTATAATTTTACATCCCACATACTTGAAATTTTCCCTTTTTTTCCCATATGTATCCGTATGCTTTCAGTGTGTGAAAACATACGGAAAAGTGCTCTTTTGCTGGAAGAATAATAGTAGTTAATAATAATATTAGCAACAATGAGCCTTTAAATACTTTAAATAATAATGGTGAATTATTTGATTAATTCTTGGCCGATTGAGAGTCAAATAAACTACAATTTTTTATTATTTGAAGATAATAAATTGTAAATACTATTAATAAAAAACATAAAAAACATTATTAACATCAAACTATTAATTACCTTCCAAACTGTTTGAGCAAATCCATCCAAACACACATAAACATAAATTTGATATAAAAAATTATTACCAGAATGAGAACGCAGCTACATAAATAAAAATGCAGATTATAAAATTTACATTATTCAAAAGTATACTTTTCATTCGTTAACTATAGGGAAATGACTTACAGCTCTTTTTTACAACAAACTATTATATATGGATTTGATATGAGTGAACAATTTCAAATTAAACCTTCTACTAGTAGAAAAAAAGGTAGAATACTGTGATTCAGAAGGTCATTGCAAAAATTTGTACCTCGGTTATATAACATTTAAATTTAGTATGTATTAAGTATTACAATAAATTAATTGTTAATGCAAAAAAAAACAAAACAACAAAGACTAAAATTTGCTCTCATCCCAAGCATAAAATATATTTGACTATAGAATAAAGAAACACCTCATTTAAAAAAGCATCTGGAAGACTA